ATGTTTTCATAGGAGAGGTGCTCCAGCCCTCTGATTTTCCTCATTGCTCTCCTCTGGATCCGATCCAAGAGGTCCACATCTTTCTTATGTTGGAGGCCCCAGGGCTGGACGCAGCACTTATAGGTGGGGTCTCACCAGAGAGGAGTAGAGGGGCAGGGTCACCTCCTTCGACCCGCTGGCCACGTTTCTTTTGGCGCAGCCCAGGATACGGCTGGCTCTCAGGGCTGCGAGCGCACACCTCTCGTGCTCGCACATGTCCCCCTCAACAGCGGGCGTTTGGCACGGAGGGGCTCCACCGCCGCTTGGTAGCACTGTCCTGAGCCTGGTCCTGACACCAGCTACCAGGGCAAGAGTCCTGCCGCGTTCTCCGTCTCCCTGCATCTGCGTCCCCCTCCGTCCCCCTCCGGGCACGGACACCCCTCTGCAGGACGCACCGCGCAGCGCTCTCGTCCCCGCCTGCTCCCGCCCGCCCGCTCGGCACCACCCCCGCCCCTCCCGTCCGTCTGAGGTCCCGGCCGCGGGTGTCCCGAGTCCCCGACGGCAGGCGGGACCGGAATGGCCACTCGCGTTCCTCCCGCCCGCAGCTTCGCGGCCGCTCCGGTTGGTGGTTCCGCGGTGGTTCCAGGGAGCCGCGGTGGGGGCACAGCCCGCGGAGGCTCAGTTTGTCGGTCAAGGCAGCCGTATTTCCGTGCCCCGCGGCCTTGTTTGTCATGTAGGGAAGGCTGCGTGCTGCAGCCCAGGCACGTGTCTTTGGCTGGCGGCACTGACGTACTGGGAATGCGTGTGTGCCTGTTTGTGCGTGACGTGGTGAGTGTGAGATCTTCGTGAGCCGGCTGCGGTGTGCGTGGCGTTTGCATATTTTATGCTTGGGAAGGCAAAAACCAGCAATTTTTCATGAGCAAATATTTGCATATTTTCCACTCGTTCGAGCAGATAAAGCATTTCAATTCTCTGTTGGACCCTCAGGAGAGCCAGGAGCATCTTCTCTTCAAAGGTGTTTCCATTTCTTCTATCTCCCCATCTCTACAGGCTACCCTATTCCAACAACGGATTAACTGCTTCCTGCCCCCTCCACCCCCTTGTTCCGTATCCGTGTAGAACAGCTGAATCAGAATGTGGCCTGGACCGTTTTGCTGTTGCCTGATCCGAGCTGCTGTGATTCCCTGCTGATGACAAATACAGTGGCTCCCTAACAACAGCTCCAAATGACGTAAGCGTGGGCTGTGTTGGTAACAGCCTGGAATGCACCCTCACTTCTCCACACTGAAGCCCCTCAGCCATCACCTTTCACTGCCCTTCCAGATTCTCTCCTGAAGATCCATCGCAGAGCAGAAGGGTCACACTAAGTGGGTCCAAAGCTGCCGCGGACCACCATTGTGTACTTGGGTTTGCAGGTATGGTGGGTGTGGGGAGAAGGTCATTTGGAAGGTCCAGATGTCATCTCCCAGTTTGAGCCCGTGCCTGGGCTATGTGCATTAAGGTGCGTGTGCTGCATTCTTGGCATTCATGCTTAGGCCAAGAGACATGTGCATGTCTGGATATGTGTGCGTCTGTGCGGGTGGCCACATGTGGTCTCATACATACATCTATATGCCCTTGAATCAGTGTACCCACAGAACACGAATATGTACGTATATTTATACACATTCACACAGTTGCAGGTAGCCGCACATACAGGCATGCAATCACGTAAACACATTTGTATGCACGCATGCACAACAGATAGGAATGCCTCTCTGTATCTGCTCTTGTGCACTCTGACGTGTGCATGCGAACTCTGAGCAGCTGACACAACACGTTCCCTGTGTCTCTAACCCCCCATTTATGATCACACGTTTACTGGGAGGAGGCACTGCACAATGCTGCTGAAATCATTGCGGCCCTTTCTGGTCTTGCAGCTCCGATCGCTACGTGACAAGAATAAAATCTTTTGTGCAACACAGGGCTTGATGGAGCCCTTATCTCTGTGTCTCTGCACTCAGAATAGTAAACTCCATTTCCATATCTGACTGGAAAAAATCCCCCTGAACATGTCCAGAATTTCACTTAGCCACTGCGCATGGTCCCTGTGGCCTCTGGGTTGCCTGGAGTCAACTGCACCATCATTAAGGAGAGAGAGGGATCACAGAGGCAGTCAGATTAATGCTATTACTACAGGAAAAGCTGGGGATTCACCAACAGGGAGACAGAGATGAGGAGAGAGCAGGGGTCAGACAGCAGCAGGGTACTGTCCATCATTCCAAACGCCTGTTCCTATGAAAAACAGCCTTTTAATCAGTGGTGATATTTTGCAGAATTTTGTAGCATTTGTTTTCTCCTCATGAATTTTGGACAAAAAAGCCCCTTTTTTTTTCCCCTCCTCCAGTCTTATTTTCTGTTCATCTTCATTTTTTTTCAGCAATTTGTCACTGCAAAATAGGATGCAGCATAGGGGGGCGAAGAAAACACAAGACAGAAAAATATGATGCTTGTTTCTTTTCTTTTAAACTCCTATTTAAACCTCAGGTTTTTTTGCAGGACTCCCTGGAACGTATCTTGTTTTCCCCAGCAGGCTCCCCTGCAGAGCTGCCTTGGTGGGGGCTCGGATTCTGTGTATCAAAATAATGTCTCCTTGGCACATTTGCTTGGTGCTGGCATTGCAGTGCTTGGGCTCTAAGGGATGTCAGTATTTTAAGAAGCCAACCAGTCGATGGAGTTTCTTGAATGGTGATTTACAGCAGATGGAGCTGCAAAGGCGTGTGAAATGAAGTCTCATCCTGATTTGGCGAAGGAGACTGTCTCTGTTAAGTGTGTTGGCAGCTGGGGAACTCCCCCATCTCCCCACAGCAGCTGGATAGCTACTCCACGAATAAGGAAACCCACCCTTTATCTGCCCTCCACCCACCTGAGCTGCCTCCTACAAGGTCCTCAGTCACTGTCACATGCCTTCTTCAATGCCTAGTGATCACAGTGCTACAAGCTCCCCAGATAATACCATTTTTCCTCTATCCTACAGGGATTGCTGTGCCAGTGGAGTCCAGCATTCGCCTTGCTCTGCTCCTCATTGCAAGAGGAGCAACACAGATCCCTGTTTAAAGTTCTGTGTTGTCCATCTGTCTGACCACTTGGTAGTCAGACCTTTTACTCTTCCTGCTGCTTGTTGCCCCTTACAGAGGCAGAAGCTTTGGCAGTCCATCCTCAGTCTGCTAGGATTGCTTGATTGTGCTTCATCCAATAGATGTTGCGGAAGCTCCCCAAGAAAATAAAACAGAGGCTTTTTTTAGTTCAACAGATTGTATCCCACGCCCATGAATAGTTTGGCTGCCTTTCTCACTGGGGCCCACAGTGTGGGAACCTGATGCATGGATGGAAGGAGAAGGAGATGTAAAAAGGTAGCAGAGGATAGAATCTGGCTACCAAGCACTTTTTTTTCCCTGTGAGTTGAGCCCGCACTCCTGGGTGATGGCCCATGCTCAGGGGGCAAGTAGCACTTTGTAAGAGGAGCTAAGCAATTGCTGTATGGTATCACTGGTAGCTCAGCTACTCAGGCTGAGCCTGCAGGCATGAACAGCTTGGTTTTCCAGGCTTAAAGAGGAAACATGAGGATGTAGGTTTCCTCCTTTCTCGTGGAGGTGATGGCAGTACCCGTGGCTGAGCGCACAGCTGAATGTCTTTGGTTGTGTTTGCAGTCCCTTCTCTGCCTTCCTGAGCTAACATGGCTAGGAGATGTCTCTTCTCCTCATGCCCTGTGACAGTCCTTTCCTGAACTCAGGTGCCCCGCACTGCAGTTCCTCTAGTGCCTGCCAGGCCTTCACTTCTCACATTGCCTTTATGTGACTTTGACTCCTGCTTCCTCATAAAGTGGTTCTGTTGCCACCATCCTCAGCTGCTGCAGCTTGTTCTGCTGCCCAGCCCAGGGCTTTTGGCTTCTGTCCAAGCACACCTGTTCCCATGCCACCCCTTCACTTCTCTTGCCTTCTCTCAAGTGACCCATGAGACAGCTTTCTATCACTCAGCCAACTCTCATAACTGACTCTCCATAGACTACCTCCTCCAACATCTCCTGACCTCAGGGAGACACGTCTCCTTCTGGTGCATGCCTCCTTCCCATTTCTCAAAATTATTTGTAGACAAAAGTGCCCAAATATAACCAAGGGCTCTGGTATGAGGACCATTTTGGTGGCTGTAGCTTAGCAATAGTATTCATGGAGAAGTTAAAGGTGTGGGAGGAATGAAGCCAAAGCAAAGAAGGAGACCTTCATCCCACCCACCCTTGTACATTGCTGCTGTTCTAACCTACATGTTCACATGGACCCACTACAGCTTCCCTCCAACAACCAATGCACAGGAGCAAGCACTGGTCCAACTCAACACACATATTCTCACACTCTTACCCAAGCATTCACATGTGCACACACATTTCCATAAATACTTGCATGCCTGCAAAACTATACCTGCACTGAAACATTCCACAATTACATTAACACATTCCCCCATCTGTGTTTGTATACACTTATACACATGCACACCCCTTTATGTATGCCTGTACACATTTACCTACACCACACAGATTAGCATCAGTGCCCAACCCACACACATCTCCCACCAGTCTGACTCCTCTGTCTCCCATCCTCTGCAGCCATTCTCAGACATGTACAGTCCAGGGAATAAACTTTTGCATACGACAATCTTTGTGCACATGCAAACACATGAACATCATTTCTTCACCATCCTGAACTAAATACCATTTCCCACAAGATGAATCAGTTCCTAGTATTGCCCAGACTCTCTGCAACCATAGCTCTTACACACTGGAGATCCCCTGACCTCCCTCTGCTTCCTGCCCTCTCCTGTACTGATAGATGCCTTGATCTCTTGTATCAGCCAAACAGTACTCCATACAGAGATCAACTCAACCCAAAGACAATGTATATTCTCAGGAGGGCCAAATCTGTAGCACCCCCCTCCCCTAAACACACAGAACGATTCTGTCCTGTTGGCCTTTTATGTCCAAAGGCTTTTTTTTTTATTTACAGTGAGGCTTAGGGAGAGGAAAAGGGAAAGGGCATTTCAGCTTGTAAGAAACACTGCCTCTGATTCATGTCGCATTGTCTTTTTCTCTACCTTTGTTACACCTCCCACCGGGGTGCAGAGGCAGCAGGAAAACCCTGAAGAATGTGAGATGCAAGAAAGAAATGTTCAATTTTTTTCTCCCAGGTAAGTCCCATCAGCCTGCCCAGAGTCCATGAGAGCCTTAAAAAGAAAGAGGAGGTTTTGAGCAATTAGTAGTCTCCAGCCATGACCAGCATGGGCAGGAAATCTGTCCCCAAGGCATTTTTAAGAGCTAGAGAGGGGTCAGCCATGCATGCAACTGGCTGGTATGTCTTTGCTGCAGACATTTTTTCTCCCTGTTTGTCTTTCAGGGTAAACCACTTCTTGTGTTTGTAAGGAGGATAATCAAGGATACTACACTGGGATGCCTACGTGTAGTATATGCCATTTGGGAACTTCCTTGACATGCTACAATCAGATGGCAGCTGATGCCCTCCACAGCTGAGTCATTTAAGGACAGATCATGCAATCTAGGGCTGATCTTGCTCTCTCTGTATTGTCAGTGCCCAGCACCTCTTCAGCTCCCCCTGGATGCAGTCCATTCTTTACCCAGTACCACATAAACCTCAGGTGTCTTTTCCAAAGCCAAGAAAAATGTCTTGCTTTTTCTACAAGTTCATGGAGCCCTCTTCATCTTTAAACAGACTCTTGGACTTTAATATGCCTTTGTCTCCCATTGCCTTTGAGGTTGAAAAGCAGATAAGGTGAAGGGGACCTCATATTCCAATGTCTCTTTCCCCTACACCATCCCTTTCATCACAAATAACTGACATGCAACTTGTTGCTCTTTTCACATCCCACAGGCTGCTCAGGGAGTGGTTTTTGCTCATTGCTCTCTCCTTCTTCACCACTTAGAGGGCGCTCCTGCCTGCCATTTCCATTCTGGGTGATCTTGCTGATCTCGCCCTCTTCCCCTTCATCATCGATCTTCTCTGGGGGGCCTGCTGGCACCTCCTGGCTCTGGACTCGGCGGGATGGCCTGAAGATGGCCCTCTGGAAGCCCTGCTTGAAGCGGTAGGAGAGGAAGCCATAGATGATAGGATTGGCACAGCTATTGGCATACGGTAGCACCACCACAAGGAAGTAGACACCAAAGAGGGACGGCTCCTCTGGCAGTGGGCAAACAACATTGATTATGTTGAGGACATAGAAGGGGAGCCAGCAAAGGACGAAGACAGCCACAACAGTCACCACCATGCGGGTCACTCTGCGCTCTGAAAGCTTGTGCTTGGAGGACAGAGCCCTCACCCGCCTGCCAGAGGAACGAACCTTCACAACAATCAGAAGATAGCAGAGACAAATCACCAGCAGTGGTCCAAAGAAGCCCAGCGTAGCAGTGTAGATGATGAAGCCAGCTCTCCACACCGAGGCTGGCTCTGGCCACTGGATGTGGCACGTACTCATCCCTAAAGGGACGTCTGAGAAGACAACCACGGGCAGCACCACTATTGAAGACAGCACCCACACCGTTGCACTCACAGCCTTGGCCACTCGTGCTGTCCGCCATTTGGAGGACTTCCCTGGGTGGACCACTGCCAAGTAGCGATCAACACTCATCACCGTCAGGCAGAAGATGCTGGTGAACTGGTTGATGGCATCCACGGCCATCACCAGGCGGCACATGAAAGAACCAAACGGCCAGTAGGAGAGGGCATTTTGCGCAGCCAGGAATGGCAGGCCCAGCATGAAGAGCTCATCAGCTAGGGCCAGGTTCAGGATGTAGACGTTGGTCACCGACTCACTCACAGAGTGCCGCAGGACCACATAAATGACCAGAGAATTTCCAGCCAGCCCCACCACACAGACAATGAGGTAGACCACAGGGATGAGGACACCGCTGACAACTACACCAGGGCTGACAGTGGTGGAGCTGTTGGGGGTGGTGAAGCCTTCCCAGCTGCTAGAGGCATTCCCCTCCTCCGACACTGCCGGTGTGGGGAGGCTGAAAGCAGAAGTGTTCATAGCAGAGGCAGAGAAGAGGGCAGGGGGCAGTGTCCTCGCAGGATCAGTTAGCAATCTGGAAATGAGAGGGGGAGAAAAAAACACATTGATACTGGGGACATGACAGCTGAACAAGCCACAGATAAAATCACTACATTAACTGTGTTTTAGATATGGGCAGGCATGGGAAGTCAAGGTGAGTTTGTGGATGCTGGCAGCCACTGGAAAATCTAGGACAATATCAAACCCATCTAGTCCTGTGAGGCACAGTGGGCATGGAGGGTCAAACAATGATATGGCTCAATGTGAGCCAATGGATTGTCTCTCCTACGGAAAGATCCTCTAGGGAAATAACAACAGACTAGGATAAGAGCAAGGAAATTTCTCATTTTCTGCTAATAGCTCCAATAGTGAGGACATGGTCACCAGAGGCCTGATTCTCATTTATGAGTGGCAGGTACCTTAGAAACCAAAGAGGGAAAAGCATCCAGTAACAAAGCCATTCCAGTTCTGACTCCCCCATTCTCTGAGTATTCTCTTGCTTTCTGAAACTCTGTTTGGACTGGCCAGTTTATTGTTGGCTCTACCAGCAGAAGCAAAAGCACCTTCACTCTCAGTAGAGGCTGAAGTCAGCACCTGAGCTGGAGGGTAGCTGTTTTGTGTTATGGCAGTTTGAGAGCAAAGGAAGAGCCAGATTATTTTGAGTATACTAAGAGGGATCAGTCCAGGTCTCTCTTTATCTCTCTCTGATTTTCTGCCTTATTGTCTCTCCCTCTCTCTCTCTCATTCTCTCTCTCTCTCTCTCTCTCTCTCTCTCTCAATCTCCCTGCCTCTCTGTTTCCTTCTGTACCCTGTGACACACTGCTAATGACAGAGGCCCTGCCTGCCCACCTGTTTGCAACACCAAAGCAGCGTCCCAGCCCTCCTAATCTGAGGTGCCCAATTGCCCATCACGTCAGGGTTTGGCATGGAAACAGTGCTCGGCTCACTTAGAGAGAGAGCCTTGAGCAAACAAGTTCTCCATTCACCATGAGGTCGCTGCTGACACTGGGTGAGAAGCTGCAGGGAGAGAAGAGACAGTTAAGGGACAGACGTGCCTTTTGTGAGGGCTCCAGATATGTGAAATAGAGAGCCCAGCACATACTACAGACCAGAGATACCCTGGCAAACCTTATGAAGGGGAGATTTGTGATGCTTTCAGAATCAGTCTAGCTCTGGTAAAATCTTCTGGAGGTGTAGACTGACAGGGTCATCCTCCTGATGAATTAACTTGTTGGAAGGGAGGATGACTTAGTAGTAGGGAACAAGGACCCTGAGGTTCACCTTTACACATCTAAACAAATCTCCTAGGACTCTGAAGCTCTTTTTCTATTGAAATTAAAACTGGGAATCTCAAAGGAAAGGAATCCCAATCTTAACTACTTTCAGGAGGCCAGAAACACTCCAAAGACTATTCTCCCAAATGTGTTGGCATCACAACTTCCTTCACAAATGTCTTAATATTACAGCTTTTATTCTATTTTTTTGTAGATGTCATACCAAGTTCTGGAAACACTGGGGTAGACCTGAGCTTTAGATGGATTCATTGGATATCAGACAAGCAAACCCAACAAACTCCACAGATGTATCCAATCTTATACTGAAGGAACCTCATCTGGTAGGCCCCATAAAAACACAGTTGGGCAACTATGTCTTAAGGCCATTTCTACAGGCTATTGCATGAATGTTTCCTGCTTTGAAGCATTTGAGCTTTGGAGGACTGGAATTGTTTAAATTTTCTTTATTTGCAGGTGCCTTGGGCTGTGACACACTGTCCTGATAGAAGCCCATCTACTGGGGTCCTGCAGCACTGGATTGTCCCACACATCATGAGTGGCTGTAATGAATGGGCAGAGTAGAAAGTGGTTTGAAACTCTAATCTGAGGAGTCTTTCCTCTGATATTTTTTCCAATGCTGTTCTAATGACACAAATCACTTGTTGGAGGAAAAAGGAGGGCAATGGCTGCTCTAGGTACAAAGATCCCTGAAAAGGCTGGCAGAGGCCAGAACAGTATGTTCATAAAAAGATGATCTTCTAAAAGGTGAGGATGTAGTTAGGAATTCCTTTGGATGTTCCTCCTGCATGCAAATGAATTAAAAAAAAAAAAAGCCAAACATTTGAAAAGAGAGCCCTCCAAATACCAAATGGGGATAAAGATTCTGATGCTGGGGCTGAAGAGCATTTGGAGAAGTATCTGGGGTCCAGACCTCAAAGCTTGTTGTTCAGGCTGTGGTTTAGCAATACAGTAAACCCAGCTTCAGGGCCCCAGAAAACCTATCAAAAATGCTCGGGCATGCAGCAAACCCCATGGATTTTCAATAAACTCATTTTTCCTGCTCAGAGAGATGCAGTGAAGAAACTTTAAGCAGGTATGGTCTGTTTCTGCCGTTCTAACTTTGTTAAGTACTATGCACCAGCTCAAACACCATGTCATACATTCTGGATAGTTTGACAGACCAATCACTGGATACCAGTGCCTCATCTAGCTTGGATCTACTCTGCTGGCTGCTTTGGCAGCACATAGCATAGGTAGGAATTGGGGAGGAACCTTGGCCTCAGACTGATAGTGTTTTGGCATCCACTTGGAGTCTGTCCCTTTTGTGGACAGCACCTGTTGCAAGAGGCTTGGGATCTGCTAACAGGTGCTACCAGAATGTACCTGGCTCATGCAGCCGGAGAGCAGAAGGAAGGCAGAGAGGTAGGAAGAGATGGAAAATTGGTGCTATTGCTTTCTTTAGAAAAACAAATAAATTATATATATATCATATATATATATATCTATATATATATCTGCATTGAATGAAAGGAGGAGGTGGATGCTCAGAGCTGAGCCTCGAGCTGGTTACAATACATGAATAGAAGCTGGGAGGGACCACAGAGACCAATAACCTGCAGCCCCTCTTGTCCTCCTCCCCACCTGTCCCCCCCGGTTTCCCATGGCCCTGCTCCAGCTCAGGACTCCGCCGTCTCACCTTGAGGCTGAGCTGTCTGGTACGGACCAGGATGGACTGGCAGAGTTGGAGGGTGGGGAGCCGGGGGGGGAGGTCGGCAGGTTTCCTTCTCTGGGACTGCAGAGTTAACTTCTGCATGGACTCACGCCCACGGGTGTCATCTGGGAAACGCGGGCAGAGCCGCCGGGTACTTACATGTCGTCGGGATGTACATTTTCCTCTGCTTCACCGGGAGAATCCGTGTCATGTTTTCCCCTTCCCCTTTCTTAAGAGCGGTAGAGCAGAGCGGTCCCGGAGGCAACGCGCCCACTTGTGCTCTACCGGAGACGCGAGTCCTTCTTCCCGCACTTGCCCATCGCCCACTCCGTGGCTGGCGTGGGAGCGGGGCCCACGGCCGTGCCCGCGGGCGGCCGGCCGGGGCTGCGCGGTCCCTCAGCCCCACGCCGGAGGGTCTGTCCCCCTCGCTGCCCCCGCCATCTGCGGGGCTCGGGCAGAGGGAGCGGAGCGGCGGCACCGGGGGACGGGTGCCGGCAGCCAATGGGCGCCACGCACGGAAACACCGGCAGGAGAAGGAGGAGAAGGAGGGGATGGACGACAGGGCAGGAGAACGAGGAGCGGGAGGAGACACCGGGATGGAGAATAGAAGGAGGAGAGAGAGGTGCAAGGAGAGGGGCAAAAGGATAGAGGAGCGTGGAAGACGGGGAGGATGAAGGAATGAGGAGTGCGGTAAAAGAAGCTGAAGACAGTGTAGGGGAGAGGGAGAGGAAGAAGAGGGATAGAGAGAGCAGCTATGTGGTGGGAGAGCGGTGTGCAGGAGGGGGTGACTCGACTCGGCTTCCCTAGGCAGGCACCCAGGAGACGGCCTCCCTGTTCCGAGGGTCGTGCAAGCAGGACACATGTTGCTCAGAGCTGCAGGGACACGGCAAAACCTTCTGGCTGGCAAGATGCTCAGAAATCGAGGTAGATGTTAAGCACACAAACCCTTGTCCCTTCTATTCTGCCCTATGAGCATCTCCAGATGGATGGAGATGAGGGCAGACAGCCAAATAGGGGGCTGTATGTTTCAACTCCTTCTCTTATCTGACTCCATGAACAATCTCTTGTCTTTTGCACTTTCATTGGGAAAATGCTCTAGTTCAACAGCCCTGAACTCTCCTACTAGATTTCATCTCTGCTGGAAATGTAGACCCAGAAGAAATGGGTCTAGGAAGGCAATTAACATCCTTTGTTTGAACAGTTCTCCCCGGAAGGACATGAGGATTTTCCCATTCCATTCCCTGCACAAAGGCCTTTCCTGTCATTCTCACCCCCTTCCTGGCCCTGCAGCCAACATCGGTGACTGTTCGTGCTGTGCAGTCACCCACTTCTTGACATTTGGCACTGCTGTTGCAAGCATTTGAGGCCCCTAGGGCCAATTCCAGCCTTAACAGAAGAAGGCAGTATCTCTGCGAGCAGAACATAGCCAGGGTTTAATCTGGCATTCCAAATCTATTTGAGCAACTTTATGTTCAGCCAGTGTTGATCATAGGTGAGCTGATGAAGGCAGTACAGGACTTCAAAGCTGTCAGGCTGCCTTAGGCCGGAACTTCACCACAATGCTATCTGGAGACACACAAGAGATATGACGCCTCATTGTGGAAAAAATGGCATGGGTAGCACCCAGAGGTTTTCTTTGCCATGGCAGAGCAAGTATCTGTAGCACCATGCAGGAGCCCCTCAGTTCCTGTCTTAGAAGAAACAGAGCCAAACAACAGCAGAGCTCTAAGAAGGCCTGCTGACCCTTGCAGGACTTGCTAGCGTAAGCACAGTCACAGGATCACAAATTCCAGGTCTCCAGATCGCTTCCCCAGTGCTCCAAGTCCTGCCCCATTCTCAGCTCTAACAGGGTTGTGCAAACTGCTTAAATTTTGTTGGGATGAGAGCTCAGCCTGTGCACCTCCACAGGTAGGAAGATACATAAATTTTGTTTCATGCACATGGTCAGTATTGCTGTTTGTGGGGACGAGGCAGATTGAGAAGGTAAAAGCCAAGGCTTAAAGACTAGAGAGGAAGTAATAAACCACTGGGAATACATTGGTTTGAGCAATGCTTAGAATTTTTAAAGGAGATTAGATCCCATTCTCAAGGGCTTTGTGTCCCTTGCCCTTCCACAGGTATATGCCCATACCAGAGACTTAATTTTTGTGCATCTGGATTTACGCTGACATAATTTACATTACCTTTGGATGGGCCCTGAGCATCCAGCAGCCCATGTGCAATGCAGATATTTGTGGGACTTACTGCCACAGGATGCCCTCCAGGGTTGCTCTGGACTTTATCAGTAGGCAATGTGTCACATCACTGAGTTAACTGCCTTATTTAGATCCAACCATGAATTGAAATTGCAGAAATTTCCCTGGCAGCAGGGTACCTCGGGGGCTTCACTGTGGTGGTTGTAGCTGGCACTACCCATGCACCTCCTCAGTGCAGGAAGCAGCCTTTGAAGCTCAGAAGTGTTGCTGCATCCAGGAATGATAACCTGACCCAACTCCATAGTTTCTCTGTGCCCTCCTAGGACTGCAGGATTTTGCAGTGCCAATCATTGCACCCTGAGCCCTCCTCCCTCCTGCAAGCAGTGGCAGTGGCAGCCACCCTGTAACACTTACTCTCAAGTCCCTGCAATGCATCAGGAAGGCAGGTGCTCACAGCTGCCAGATCCATAGTACCTCTGGGACCACTCTCTTCAGCTTAATTTTAGTGTCTTGGAGGCAATTTGTCTGGACTGGTGACTCATTCCTCCCTCTTTAATTTTTTTTCCCTGCCCTCCCCCTCCCTATTCTCTTTCTGACTGTGCCTAGCAGTATGCGTGAATGCTAGTACTGATATGACTCCTTGGGATGTGAGCTTAGGAAGATTAATGCAGCAGTGTTTTGGTGAAAGGATGTCCACAGCAACCTGCAGGGGCAGTCCTCACAGAGAGGAATCTGGGTCTGGGTGTCCCCTCCCAAAGCCTGCACCCCATCCTCTGTGGATCTTGGAGGGGAGACGACTCTTCCTTTGGACACATGGAGACTGAGAAGAGGATAGGCAAAAGCGAAGATGTAATCACCCCACTGCACACAATATTTGCACTTTACTGAGGAACGCAGGGGTCTCAGCTGAGAACTTAGCAACTTGGTGCATGAATCATGCCGTGTCTCTTCATCGAATAGTGGCTGGGGCTCATGAAGCTCAGTGTGGTTCTGCCTGGCTTGTTGTTGCTGAAGGAGGGGCACAGCTGGTAGGTGCCTCCACCCAGCTGTCTCATTGCTCACTGCTTCAGGGCTGTGTCCCCCCATGGTGCAACACTTCGCAGACATGGCAAGAATATGGTCTGTTTATTGGGTCTTATTCACTATGCTGTAACCTCAGGGGCCCAGTAAGAAGGGCAGGAGCAGGTGGGGTGAGTTGAGTGTGGGGAAGTTGTGCAAACTAACACACCAGTGCTACAGACCCACAACAGTCTTTCAAGCTGGCAGAAGTAAAAAAAGCACAATGACCGCCACAAGGTGCTGAGCTCTGGGAAGCTGGAGCCGTCACTCTCCTGTGTGCTGGGCAGCACCTGAGGTCAGGATGGGGCCAGGATCTATAGCCAAAAACACAACAGACCTCCTAATACCAGCTCAACTATTTTCCTGCCCTCCCTCCCTCTGCCCTGGTGATGGTGGGAGTATGAAGGGGCGGGGTCCCAATTAGGAAGCTCCCACTCTTCTCTCCCATCAAGTTTGGCCAGCTTTGCCTCTCATGCTGAAGCCTCTCTCCTCCCTCTGTTGACTTGATCTGAAGTGGAAGGGCAATTAGGGACAATACGAGGAGTAAAGGAGTTCTGGAGGAAAAGCTGCTGCCTGCCAATGAACGGCAACACAAAAACCCCCTTGAGGTGAGCAGGGCTTGGTAAGAGGAAGGGCCATTGGGCAGCTGCCATGAATACGGAACAGATTTTTCTTTTTTTTAATTATTTTTCTTTTTTTTTTTTCCATTCCTCTAGACAAAGGCTACGGCTTCATAGCTTTCAGAGCAGGTCATGCCCAGGGCAGCCTGGATGTAGTTCCCTCTGGCAGAAGGACAGACAGTTCTTGTCTGTGAGGACAAATGTGGAAAATCCTAGGCAGCCCTGCACCAGGAGATGGGAGCAAACTTGCCCATAGTCAAACAGAAAGGAGGGGGAAGTTGTTCTGGGGTCCATCATCCTATGTCCTGTCCTTTCCCCAAGCAGGACTGCTGTCTCCCTCTCTCTCTTTGAGGATGACCCATTCCACCAGGCTCAGCAGGTCACAGGAACCCAGTAGCCCTGACCATCTAGGTCCAGGAACAGGAAAGTGTCACTTGTGTCACTCCCTGGAATCCCTGTCACACTTACTTGCTTAGAGGAGGCTGCATACACGTTTCTTTGTCCGGGTGGGCTGTGGACAGAGGACTGCTCGGATGGCCTCATCGAACACCGTCTTGAGGCCGCGCTGCGTCAAAGCCGAGCACTCGAGGTATTTCACAGAGTCTGTTGGGAGGAAGCCGGGTGTTGTAATGGGGAGGAAGGGAGCTGGGGTAGGCAGTGGGGTACCCAGGTTTCTGTTGCTTGTGCTAGAAAGCAAGGCACCCGCCTCTTGCCCGAATTGAATAAATATATGTCAAGTGATCAAGGACATTACTCATTGTCAGGACACACTTCGCTCACTCACAGTCTTTTCTTAGGCAAAGCTTGCCAGCTGTACAAGACCAAGGTTTCCCTATTCTCCACCTTTGTAGCCAGAGCAGAGCCATTGTCTGGCTATGTTATCCTGGCCAGACATCCCCTCTGCTGAACTCCTGATTGAAAACTTCTCTCTTAAACTGTTTCCTACCCTCTCTCCTACCTCTGTGTGCCACCTCTGAGAAGAGAGGAGCAGGCATTTATGCATGTTCTGAGGTATAGAGGGGAGCTGATGCCCTTGAGCTGAATGGTAGCTCATACCTGGGGCTGCATGTATAAGCCCCAGAAGAACAGAAGCAGAGAGGGGAAGTTGCAGTTGCAACTCTTCCTGAGATGCTAAAAACTTCACTCTTCTACCTCTTTCCGGATGTAGAGGAGAGGCCTCTGCCCACAAGGCAGATGTGGCTTTCACAGAAAAATATTGTTCCCAGATAGAAGTAGCAGAGTAAAAGGGGAGGGGAATGTAAAAGCGTGTATTTGTGTGTTTATGTGGAGGATGGTGACCAGAGAGAACATTGCCAGATTGAGTCTTCCTTAATAAGCAGATGTCCTTCCTGATTCTCCCAAAATACATTTTGTCCCATGATCTTTGATGTGTCTCCTCGTG